CATATTCGGCTTCTTCACGACTATAATGAAATCAAAGACGTTGGGCAAGGGTTGATCGGACTCATTGCTCAAAGCCGTGGAGTGAGACACATTGAAGTACAAACTGAGTTCGGAATAGCTACCGCAGATTAACCCGATTGCTAGAGCCGCCAGAGGATGATACCGTGTGGCAGGTATACTATTTTAAGCTAAATCTATATCTATTAAACTCAAGGTCAAAGTCAAGAACCAGCTTTCGTTCCATCCTAGATCGTTCACAAATGAAATTCATATAAATCCAAAAAAATCTCATAGACAAAACAAGACATGACAAATGAAAATGGGAGAGGGGGGTAAATATATGGATCAGACATTTCGGTGAAATAAAATGATATCTAACAATTATCCTCCGACGAGAGAAATACACTCTTCAACTGCGTTTTCAAGATCTATGATTCGGTTCTTTAGGTATCGGTTCTCCTCCCTTAGGATGCTGGTGACGGTCGAAGCGTCCGATGAGCCATTGGCACGGCAATCGGGACATTTAAGTCTAGAAGATGTCAAGGCATTGAAGGATGTGCCGAGAGCCGACGATGATATGCCTTTGAGAACTCTACCGTAGGCACTCTCGCGCTGGGGTGCTGGCTGGGCGGCTTTCGGAGTACTTGGGCTAGATGTAGGCGCAGACACTGCTGGACTCGGCTGGGTGGCAGTCGCAGACGGGCTTGCCATTGAGACTGCAGAAAACCTGGTGTTGACCGATGCACCATCGTCATTTTCTCGAGAAAACACACTTTCAGCAATGCTTTCGTCTCCCGAGTCAAAGCCGGAATCGCTAGTAATCGTCACGCCACTCGAATTTTTTGAGTGAGTACCCTTGGAATGTCGTGTTGGTGTAGCCGCGTCTTCCGGTTGTTTCTGCTGTTGCTGCTGCTTGGTCTTGATTTCGTCCTGGTATTTCTGCCTCTCAGCCTTAAGCTCCTCGGTCAGAGCCTTCAATGCTTTGTCTTGTTCAACCACCCTAGCCGCCATTCCGTCAAGCTGAGACTTGATATTTTTGATCCGCGATTGCGCATCCTCCAGCTCGTCTTCCTGTGCATTTTTCTCTGCTACTGCCCCATGTAAAGCAAAAGTTCGTAGTTTGTAGGATTCTTGGAATTCGCGTAGGAGATTTTCTGCGTTGGCTCGAAAGGAGTGAAGGGCTTCTTCGGGAGGTAGGTCGGCAAAGGAAGGGTGGCATAGGATAGATTTGATATCGAGATTTAAAAGCTTGTCATTGGCAAGTTCTGGCAGCGATTCCCTTTGGGCTTGCTGGGACTTTGACGTGAAGAATGAAAAAGGATTTCCTGAAGCAACCTGCCTCAACGAGGCCGAGACGTTCATATTTCCTGACAGCTTCGTGGGCGACGATGGGGACGAGTTGCGACTTGATCGCTCGAGAGAAGGTGAGGTGTCGTGCATAATGTCGTCTGAAGCTCCCCTATCCGAACGTGGGGAGGAAATAAGCCCCAATCGCATAGGTGTAGATTCTCCCTGGAAAAGCCCAGAGGACAACCGGCTGGAGCGGTTGGATTTAGGCTCGTTGGCTTTCTCCGTTGAAGCGCCCAGATCCACGTCCACGAGCTTGGACGGGTCCGTGTCAGCGTAGTGGCTGGTCGTCCTTATTCCATGTATGGGGAATGATGGCCCATTCACAAGCCCCGGGAGGTCTGTTTTGGCACGACGATGCGAGGCCGCAATGCTTTGCGAAGAGCTATGAGGTCGGTCCTCTTGAGGCCGTAGCCGCGATGGTTTCGTTGGTGAGCTGGGTAGAGACCGGCCTCCTTCTGCAGAGTATGTGGCAGCGCGAACAGTAGCAGACCATGCTGTTTCCTGTTGACCTTTCGATGGCTGGCTGTTGTTCGTCCTTGATTCGTCAAAAATCCTGTTTAAGCGTTGCTGCAACCGGTCTGGCGACGGGTTTCTTGACGTCTCGGGCGTCTTCTCGCCAACCTGCTTTTTCCACGTATCCATGCTTTCACAAAGCTGCCCGATAGCGGTTCATATCGATATACCCACAAGTCGGACCGTTTTCGAACGGGTACCAGCCCATATATAGGACACGGCGTTTATTGTTTGTGCGAAAGCTCGCAGCGTTGCTCAGAGGTGAAAGAGGACACACCGACGCCCGGAAAATAGTCGGCTTCCAAAAAGCAAATCTGCCTGAGACGTGCGATGACGAATTTCACTCGCTGGGCTGCCCCCTGGTGGAGCCGAATGATCTTTATCGATAAAACAAGCGTGTTGCCTTGGTAATGAAGGACCGCGTCCTGCACCAGCTTGTTTGTGACAAGGTCTCGCCATGTGTAGAATTCACGGCCGAGGCATTTGAATGGTGCCTTTTCCGTGCTAAAGATGCACATTTAACTAGTGGCTTTGCCTTGGGCGTAAGTTGCATGCTTTTGGCTATGACGGTTGCCACAGCATCGCGTGGACCATTATTTTAGTCGAGGTTAGCTAAGAAATGCAGCATAACCATAAAGGTACTAAGTACTCCTTACGTTAACGACTTTCTTTCTCGTCGTCTATGTCGTCTATGAGTATCTAGGAGTTGCGGATAAGCAGAAATGCGAGATGGATGTTGTAAACAAAGGGGGATCCAGATGTTCGTCAACAAAGAAGTGGAGCAACGCGGCTAATTGGCGGGAACGGGCGCTTATTAGTTAACCAGCCCAGCGAGCTTTAAGTTCAACACCGCAGGGTTAACTCCATCAACTGGACACAGTGGCAGGTCCGCCGACATCTAACCGCACCCACGGCCTAACGAACGGCTGTTTACGTTGATTCCTTTGTTATATCGCTCAATGGTGACCTGATTTTATATTTTGTTTCTAATTTTCCCGCCTGAGTTCTGGTCAATTGGCCAGAACCGCAGTTGCCCACCTACCACGATGATAACGCTCGACCTAGGATCGCTTTGCGCGGAATGCGTAAGCGTAATCAAGGATATTCCTCTGTCGCTGCTTTTTGGTCTTTTGCTCTCTTGTTGTATGGGACTTTTCAGCCTGGTAAGCCTTGCTTGACCCGTCGGTTATCAGTTAAAGCCACGTTGTAACTAACGAAGATGTTCGGTTAGGTCTACCTCCTCCTTTTGATCCTAGCGCCTGCTCCGCGAGCTCCATTTCCTGAGGAGAAGAAATACAAAGCGATTTTAGAAGATGGGAGTCTTTCTAAGGACCAGCAACTACCTTGCTGGCATGATAAGATCAACCTGGATACGTACAAGCAGTCGGACCTCGAGGAACCCACCTTATTCATGTCTGTCGTGATACCAGCGTATAATGAGGAAAAGCGACTCCCTGGGATGTTGGAAGAGACTGTTAGCTATTTACAACGCGCGTACGGAACACCAGAGCGAACGGGTCAGGCAGAGAAAACAAAAACTACCAGCTTGCAGGATGGCGATCTTGGAGAAACGAGACTTCGACACCATGCCAACGGCAAAACAAGATCGACCACTGACAAGGACTCAGGCGTGCCCTTGAAAGGCTGGGAGATATTGATTGTCTCTGACGGATCGACCGACAATACCGTGGAGACGGCACTGGCCTTCGCCAAAGACCACCAGCTGTCCACCCATCCCAAGGGTCATGCAGGGCCATGGACCCCAAAAATAAAAGAAGGCGTTAAGATACCAGCCGGGAGTATACGGGTTATTGAGTTGACCCAGAACAGGGGTAAAGGTGGCGCTGTGATTCACGGAATGAGACATGTTCGAGGACAATATGCCATATTCGCGGACGCTGACGGGGCCAGCAATTTCAACGACTTAGGCAAATTGGTGGAAGCATGTGAAAAGATGGAGGACCCAAACCGCCGTGTAGTTGCTGTCGGGTCGAGAGCGCATTTGGTAGGGAGTGATGTGGTCGTCAAGGTAAGTGTCGACAATATACCTATAACTTTATTCCAGATTCAACATGAGATATAGTGTAACATCAGCTAACGTTCCTCAAGCGATCCAAACTACGGAACTTCCTAATGCACTCTTTCCATTTAGCGCTCCGCCTCCTTACGCCACCGGCAACAGCCAGAATTAACGACACTCAGTGTGGCTTTAAACTCTTTTCCCGCGCAAGTCTGCCATACATTATACCCTACATGCACTCAGAAGGCTGGATCTTCGACGTTGAAATGCTCATGTTAGCTGAATTTGCCAACATCCCCGTCGCTGAAGTGCCTATCGGATGGAAAGAGGTATCAGGTAGTAAGTTGAGCGTCGTCTGGGATAGTCTGGGCATGGCTTATGGGCTTGCTATACTTCGAGCCGCGTGGGGTTTTGGCGTCTATACACGGGCTGGAAACTGAGCTTATCTTTTTGAATATTCATACATTTATACTTCTTAGACTGTACATCACTTGCATTTAAACTACTTTGCTGGCTGGAGAATAGTTAACTACCATTGATAGTCCAACGGAAGCTAAGTTGGGAACTGCGGAACTGTTTTTGAAGACGATCGCTGGAATTTGCTCTACTTTATATAGTTACCCATAGTTCTCGCCGCCGCCGAGAGATACCCGTGTCCGCCTGATCTCACCCATTGATGCATTTCCAAACCGACTAATCAATATAAGCCATTCCTCCCAAAAGCCCCAGTGTAGTTGAAAATATGCCAGATATCCAACGTTGGGTAGCCAACAGAAAAAAAAAAAAGAAACAATAGAGCAGAAGTGCGTCTGACTGCATTGCTCTGGGTATATGTACGGTGATGTCAAAAATAGCATCTTCGGAATCATGTCTACCGTCTGAAAGGCCGTGAAATATAATTATACAGTCGTTTTGGGTGGAGCCATTGGTAGAGTAAGTGTGGGTTATTTCGGTATAAAGAGACGTATGAAGATATGGCTGACGATGAAACAGCAGTGTAGACAAGGGTGTTCCAAAAACCTTGTAGGGGGAGCACAAGGGAGGCGATGTATGTCAAGACGTTGCTTGGTTTGTTTGGTTCTACAAATGAGTAGACACGGTTTAGCGATGCAGGTACCTATTGGTAATTGTTAGGAAAATGATAAAGAAGAGGCAAAGTTGGTTTGAGAAGCAAGGGGAATGGCGGGGTACTCACCCAGGTGACGAGCAGAGAGCAGAAGAAGAGAAGAGCGAATTTCGAATAAGCCCATGCAGCGCTCTGTCGTTCCCATGAGGCCTTGCGGATGCGGTACTTATCACCGGTTGTGCCACGTATTCCGGCTAAGCTCTGGCTGTTCCCTGGTGCATGTTCGATGTCTATTTCATCTCGTGTTCCTCCAAGTTCAGGGCCGTGTGTGGTATGTCGGGGTGACGCCGGAGGGAAGTAAGCTGGTTCAAGGTCATCACCTAGATGATCTTGCCGAAGCGCCGGTTCTGGCCAATTTTCCAGGTGGTATGTGTCTTGTTTTGGTTGCTTTTTTTGCTGATGCTGCCGGTCTGCATGTTGAACACCTTTCTGAGCGTGTTGCTGGAGGCCAGGGCTGATATCATGTTCGGCGTAGCTTGAGGCATCGGTCACCCCAGCAGTGGTCGAGTCAACACCCGACAAGGTAAGACTGATGTTGCGCAGGCGTTCAATGTCTCTGCGGCTGGCGAGGATGAACCTGGCACTGTATAGGTAGATGCCGAGAGTGATCAGGATGGTGGTCCAGATGGGTCCGTAGACGCCTCCGATTCGGAGGACCGACCACTCCGGTCTAATCCAACACCAAAGCTAGAAATATGAGCAAAATTAGCATTTTTGCCAATACTGCCGGTGATCTCTAGGCAAGCTTACAGTCGCATCTCCATAAACCTTCCCTTTCTCCTCATTTTTGATAAAGAGGAAGGCAAAAGCGGGTATGAAGGGAAACAGGTAGCATATGACCATGTACTTCCACTCCAGCTTCCGTAACTCTGCGGTGCTATATCGATGGAACAGGATCAAGTAGACATTGCAGGCCATACAGAACGCCCAAAGAGCATCGGCGACATGGAACCTTTACTCCATGAAACAAATTAGCATCCAACATGGTCCTCACAAACGAAGTGATTCCAAGAGGGAGTCGTACCATTGAATGAAGAGGGCTTGCCACTGACAGAGGGCGCTGTCCTCGCCCGCAACGATGCCAGATCTCGATGTGGCCGTGGCACAGATACCGAGTAGATTCCCCCATGTTGCGAAGAAGATGAGGCGGTTGACGGGCGTTCTGAAGCGGCGGCTGGCGACGAAGGTGAGGACGACGAAGAGGCAGCCGGCGAGAGAGATCGTCGAGCTCACCCGTTCAGTGATGTGCAGCACATGCAGTTGTCGCTCGGTGAATGGCATCGGTCTTCGCTCATGGTCATCTAGTCAGTCAAGTCAAGCCTTTGGAGATGATTTTGACATTTGTCGGGCTGAGAGTCGGACACGCAGAGATGAGGTGTCCAGTGTCCAGCGTCCAGGCAGGCAAGGCTCTGGCTCTCTGTCTTTAGAGGGTGGGAGAGTAACCTCTCAGCCGTGCGGGTATCCTGCGCCTGGCTGCGTCTGGTCCTAGGTAGTTATATATATATGTACTCCGTATGTATATATATATATAGCTAGCGAGTTACTCGACGCCATCTCACCCGCCAGCCGCTTGCATCACCTCGCCTTTTTGCCTGCCTCTCGGTTTCGTCTCATCTTCGTCTTTTCCATGTGCCCGGGGCGGATTCCCCGTCACGTGTCAGACTCCATGGATGGCATCAAGTTTGTTCTTCCTCAGCAAAAATGCAAACCTGCATATAAAGTGAGATTTGGCCGGCCGAAGCGAAAACGAAATCGACCAAAAAGAAAGCAGCAAAGTAAAAAGTGACCAAGAGAAATCGGACCCCATATTATGTGGTCGGGTGGTTGGTATCAGATAGCGCGATCCGCTGTGGCGTGTCTTGTTGATCGCAATGCATGTCACTTATCACTGTTATTGGGCTAAGCGAGGGAGGTTGAGCAGTCTCTTCGACCCTCCCTAGTAGCGGCTGGCAGGGGTATTTGTGCTGCAGCGGCAGAGGTACAACACTGCTGTTGCTGCTGCTGCTGCTGTTACTCCGTACTGCTGCTGCAGTTACTCAGGAGAAGTGACCCCTGTCAGGCCAGCCAGTTGCGTA